TAGAGGTAATTTTCGAGGCCAAAAATCTTTTAAGTGGGGGAGAGTTGTAACACGCCGTTTTTATCTAAATGTTATTTCATTAATTATTTTCCAAAACTATTAAATTATATCTATTTTGAGAAATATATTCAATTGATGTCGATTAAAATATTAATTGGGTAATATGAAATAAAAATATTTATTGTGTCGGAATATTATTTTGAATAATATTAATTTGGTGTGTAGTAATATTTGACTTTGTTTGATTAATTGGCATGATTAGGTTTATATAGAATACGTATTATTTAGTGTAATATTGTTTAATAGGGTTATATATTATAATTTGAATTAAATAATTGTTGGGGCCAAATTATAATTTTAGAAAGATAGAGGGAGGAAAGTTAGTAGTAGAAGGATAGTTTTATAAAATAGAAAAGGAGAGTTAGTAAGAGTAGGAGAAGAAGAAAAGAAGAGAGGAGAAAGAAGAAAGAAAAGAGGAGAAGAGAAGAAAGGAAGCTAGGGTGGAGTTGCAACATCTTCATCATCTTGTTTCAAGAAAACCCACACCAAGGTAAGGGGTTTGATTCTCCATCTCATATTTGTTAGGTTTTGATAAATATATTTTGAATTGGGGGTAAAAATTGATAGTTGATTTATAGGGTTTTGTTGGTTGATTGTTGGAATGGTTTAGGAAAGTTGGATTAAGAGTATGGTTTGTCAGTGTATTAGGTGCTAGCTTGTAGAAACTAAGAGTATTGAATGGGAAAGAAAACCATGGTGGTAGAATGAGCAAAACCCAAAAGAGTGGAGTTTTCACGCAGGCCTCTCAACACGGGCCGTGTTGCAGCACACGGGTGCCCGTGTTGATGCCCTGACTTGGCATTTCTTTTGGCACGTTCTGGTGGTCTCTCAACACGGGCCGTGTTGCAGCACACGGGTGCCCGTGTTGATGCGTCTGTAGCCTCCAAATTTCTGATTTTCACACTTTCTTTGGAACGCGATTGTGTTCCGATTTTCGGATTTGGAATTATTTGATAGTGGATGGTTTATGTTTTGGTTGAGTAAGTAACTGTTTGTATACATTCTACTTGACGTTGAGATTGTTGAATCATATGTATGCATGCATGTACAATAGTTGATGTTCCATTGGTTGGATTTGATGGCATGTGTATGTTAAGATTATTATGAGTCTTAATTGCATGCATTGGTTATATTATACATTGCATGGCATGGTTGGTCTTGAAACAGAGACGGTGAAACTGTGGGTTCACACAATTTTATAGACGGTGACCCTATTGTGGGAAAAGACGTAGTGACCTTGATCCGGAAGGGAAATACAGGTGGTGGAACTTTGGGTCCACAATATCTAGACGGTGACCCTATTGTGGGAAAAGACGTAGTGACCTTGATCCGGAAGGGAAACATAGGTGGTGGAACTTTGGATCCACGAGTCGGTACCGCATTCGCATACGTTGAGTCGTGTAGTGAGTCTCATGTATATTTGTGCATGTTATGTATGAGTGTTGATGTGTTTTGATTATGTGCCAATATTGTTGTTGTTTGAATTATGGTTATATGCCAAGGATGTGAGTATTTCGGATAATCGGTTTACATGGCTAATGTGTTGGAAATGGGTTCCTTGAGTAAGGATACTACGAGTGATAAAATGAACATGATCATTATGTATTGCGTTATTTATTGCCATTTCATTTACTTAAAATTTCATGTTATATGATTATTGGAATTCTTACCCTTTTGTTGGCCAATGCTTTTGATGGCATTGTGCAGGTACCGAGGACGGTAGCGCGAGGCGCTAGCTAACGGATGCATTGGATTGCAATCTGTTTTATTTTGATTAGGGTCGAGTCGATGCTCTGGTAGTAACACTTGGGGGGAGGAATTTATTTAGTGTCGAACTCGATTATTTTGTATTGGGATTATGATGTATATAATCCTTATTCGTGTATATGATGTTTTTTTATATGAGATACTTGATAACATATGCTCATGTAATTTATGATGGATTGATGCCTTGGATTATGTTTTGATCCCTCCATAATGGAGATGATGTGAAATTGTGAAACTCCGTTGCGTTTGCACGAGAGGATGAAGTGAATATTTACTGTATGTTTGTTTTGTGTTGGAATACTTATAATTTCAAACATACCCTGTCTGTTTTTCTTTAAAATAATTTGGAATGTGTTTTGTGTTGTGGCATCCCTTCCGTGCAATTTTATTTCTCTGATTTTAATCTTTACCTATTAATTGGGGTATTTAGAAGGGGTGTTACAGTTGTGGGTGGGAGAGTGGACTTATGATGTATCTCATAAACAAAACTTTAATATGCGAGCTGCTCTGATGTAGATAATTAACGACTTTCCTGCATATGACATGTTGTCTGGATGGGGCACACATGGCAAAATGGGATGTCCGCATTGCATGGATAACACAAAAGCGTTTACTTTGGATAAGGGTGAGAAAAGTTTGTGGTTTGACTATCACCGTAGGTTCTTACCTACAAACCATGAATTTAGAATAAATAAGAATGCTTTTAGAAAAGGAGAAAAAGTAATAGGTCTACCTTCCCATTGATTGTTATCGACTGAAGTATGGAATAGTGTTCGCGAGCTACCAAAATTCATAGATAATGGTGAAGCACGCAAAATTCAAGGATATGGGGATTCTCACAATTAGACAAAAAGAAGTATTTTTTTGGGACCTCCCAGATTGGAAGGATAATTTGTTGCAACATAATCTTGATGTTATGCATATTGAGAAGAATTTTTTTGATAATGTATTTAACACAGTGATGGGTAATGAGAAGACGAAAGATAATGAGAAGGCTAGAAAAGACATGGAATTTTTGTGTAATTGAAAAGAATTGGAGTTGAAACCTCGACCAAATGGAAAATTAAACCCAAGGCTTGTTACACTCTTACTCCCCAAGAAGCAAAAGTAGTATGTTGGTGGTTAAATGATTTGAGGATGCCTGATGGTTATTCTTCTAACTTGGAAATATGTGTTGACGCCTCAATAGGGAAGATGCATGAAATAAAAAGTCACGATTGTCATGTTTTCATGGAACAATTGCTTCCAATTACATTCAGTTCACTGCTAAAGAATGTGCTTAATCCACTAACTAATATTAGTCAATTTTTTAGAGACATTTGTGCGTCAACTTTAAGAGTAGAGGACATCATTAAATTGGAATGAAATATTCCTATCATTCTCTGCAAGTTGGAGCAAATATTTTCGCCAGGTTTCTTTGATTCTATGGAGCATATCCCTGTGCATCTTGCTTATGAAGCTTTCCTAGGTGGACATGTTAAATATAGATGGATGTACCCATTTGAATGATTCATGGGTGATTCAAAGCGATCAGTGAAAAATAAGGCAGGAGTTGATGGATCAATTTGGGCACATTATTTACATCATGAACTATCACATTTTTGCTCTCATTATTTCAATCACATGACGTTGACTCTAAGAATTATAAGGAACTAAGTTAACTTTTGTGAAATAAGTCAATTCACCTTATCCATTTTCGGTCGCCCAGGCCATCCCTCAGGGAAGATGAGTGAGCATTAGCTTTCTCAAAAAGAAATGCAATCTGCCCATGTTCATGTGTTGATTAACTGCATTGAAGTTAAACCATATCTTGAGTAAGTATATTTAATTAAGTATATAAGTTTTATTGGTTAAGACTTGTAACCTTCTCTAACCTATATATTTTTTTTCAAAATGGGGCATTTAGTACTTACTATTATCAAATCACAAGAGAACACATGCCTATTTTCCAAAATGATTCAAGCAACGATTAACATGTACTATTTTCACCAAGTCCTGAAATAATATATTTGAGAAGTTTGTCTGAAGGCTCTCGTCAATGTGTGAATGAATGACACACATACTTTATAAACAATTATAAATTTCACACTGAGATTTGGAGTGAAGGGAAGAAAATTGTAAACAGTGGTGTAGTCGTAAAAGGAGTTACAGAGGGTGGTGAGGACGACTTCTATGGGGTTATCACACATATTTACGAGTTGGTCTATAATTATATGGACTCGGAAAATAAAGTTGTCTTGTTTTATTTTGACTGGTATGATCCATCTTCCAGAGGAACAAAAATTGATAAAAAGTATAACACTGTTTGAGGTTCAAATAGATAGAAAGTACAAAAAGTATGACCCCTTTCATAATAGAACACAATGTTATGCAAGTTTATTATGCACCTTATCCTTCAATTACCCCACACAAACGAGGATGGTGTTTTCTAATCAAGTCCAACCAAATGGGTCACACTGATACTGACGAAGTAATGGAAGATGTTGCATACCAAGTTAATGAGATTTCACCTGTTTTATGAGGTAATTGAAACTAAGGAGATTATAAGTTTGTGTGATACTGTAGTTGAGGGTCAACAAGTTGACACAACTATATTATTGTCAACAAATCCCGTGGAAGAAGAGCATGAAGAGCTAGAAGAGTCTGAAGACAATAACTTCAGATCCGATGAAGACAATGAAGATTATGATGATGAATAATTTGAATATGTATTATGTAATAACTCTCGTGTAATAATATCTTTCGAAATAATCTTGTGTAATATTATCTTTTATATATATATATATATATATATATATATATATATATATATATATATATATATATATATATATATATATATATATATATATATATATATATATATATATAAATATATATATATATATATATATATATATATATATATATATATATATATATATATATATATATATATATATATATATATATATATATATATATATATATATATATATATATATATATATATATATATATATATATATATATATATATATATATATATATATATATATATATATATATATATATATATATATATATATATATATATATATATATATATATATATATATATATATATTATCTTGTGTAAATATTATCTTTTATGCAACATTTATTGTTTAATGCTTTTCTTTTAAATAGAAAAAATGTCACCCAAGAAAAATCCCACCCAACAAAAGCCTCGCCACAGTAGGTACATTATAGAGGACGTTTGTGATTCAAATTTGTTTATTTCTATGCCAAAATCGAGTGAAGTGACTAATTATCCTTCACATTCTACCTCATCTCTTATGCATATTACTCCACCTTCTATGCATTATACTCCACTTCCTATGCATCCTACTCCACCCATGTCGGGATCTTTCACTGGATTACTATCCACACCTCCTGGATGAACACCATTCCCACCCATATCCCCGACAACTTTTATTAGTCCTACTAGATACACACCATATTTTCCTACTGGACCCAACACATATTTTCCTATGCCTTCCATGCAGTCGAGTGGACCCAACATTTCCCCAATCATTATCCATTCATAAGGTGCCAGATGGATCTAGCATGCCCCGACCTATGTCTTCTGAGGATGATCATGGAGATACCAGTGCTCCTGGAGATATCAGGGATCAAGAAGATACAAGTTCTACTGAGGAGCAAACAAGGATGAAGCGCATCTTGAGAAGAAATAAGTCGCAAAAAGTTAGATATTATCATAGCAGACTTGTCATTTGGGCCGATTTTGGATCGTAAGTGTTTATATATATATATATATATATATATATATATATATATATATATATATATATATATATATATATATATATATATATATATATATATATATATATATATATATATATATATATATATATATATATATATATATATATATATATATAGCAGTATCGATCATAACATGCATTATTAAAGATAAGTATACAAATTTTTGACCGAGTTATGGAGCTGTACTTGGAGATGACAGAAAAGAATGGTTTAATGTATTTAAGGTATATTTTTTCCTTTATATTTTTTTAGATATCTTTCCTTTATATTTTTTTGAGATATTCATGATTCTCTATTGCTTAATTTTGAATTCATACAACAATGTAGGAGAAGTGTTGTTGGGTTGTTAGAGATGACGTCCAAATTGAAGAAAATTTCCACTCAAAATGTAGTGCCCGATTTTCTGACACCATGAGGAATGTTAGAATTAAATGGAAAAAAAAAGCAACGCCCACGTTGGATAGGAGTACAATTATTTCAAGAGATTATTTTCCATTGGAGTTCTGAAAAATTTAAGAAAATGTATGAAAAGGCAAAGAAAAATAGAGCATCTGAAGCTGGTGGATGTAACTATGCAGTGGATAGTATTAGTGTTGCTGAAGTTGCACGAAGGATGATACATAAATTTATTATTTTTAATTAATTTATTACTTAGATTTAGATTACATATAACTAATTATTTTTTTACTTATTTAATTAGCGTGAAGAGTTGGATAAAACTCCACTTTTTAATGAGCTCCATCTGAAAACTCATCTCAAGAGAAATAGAGAGTTTGTTGACGAGCGCGCAAGAAACACTCAAGTAAATTTTTCTTATATTAAAAACATTTTATTTATTTCTTTTATATGTACCTAGATTTTTTGAATCATTATAACATTTAATTTTTTTTTGTAGAAGGAGTTTGATAGACAACTTGTTCTACAGTTGTTAGAGCATCCTGAATTGCGTGGACCACGCGGGATATCATGTTGATCCTATTGTAGATTTTTGAACATGGTATGATGTTTCAGGCGGAAAGAATAAAAATGGAAGAGTGTATGGTGTCAGAGGGTACACCAAAACTATGAAGCAACGTGATAGGAGTTTTAGAATGAGACTTGCTGATGGAGAAGGAAAATCAACTTCACATACATTAACCGCAGAAATGCTTGAAACTGTGAGAAACTTGGCGAATACTGAGACAACACTCTAAGTAACATCAAGAAATGCAGAAATTGAAGAGATGAAGATAAAACAATTAGAGATGCAACAAGAAATGCAAAGAAGAGAAACAGAGTTGCGGGAAGAAATGAGGAGACAATTACTGGAGTATCAAGAAGCAATACGGATTGCAAATGAGCAGGTTCAAAGATTTGATTAATTTTTTGCTTCATAAAATTCCGGTGGAGAATTTGAAGGAATTAGTAGATATGGAGGAGTTGTTTAAGAAGAAGAGCAAGGAGAAAAATAAGATGAATAAGAATAGAATGTTTAAATTTGAAAATTTGATATTTATTTTAATTTGTATGAAAGAATTTATGTTAACTATTTTGAACTTAATAACTTTATTGTAATTTGCATGAAGTTTTATTTTAACTTTTATTATGTTTGATTGAATTTTAATTGTGTATTATTTTTAATCATATTTATCATATTAATTATATTATAATTAATAGAATTATCACTATTAGTTTTTACTCTATTAATATCATTATTTTTTTACAAATATTTTTACAGTTTGCTAGGGAATAAACTTCAAGGAAAATGTCAACGTCTGCATTTTTTCAGGGGCTTAACCCATAGCAAATGAAAAGCGTTTACATTTTTTCAGGGGCTTAACCCCAAACAAAAGTTCTGACGCATTGCAGCAACAGTTGACCACCTAGCATGCGCCTATGTCTGCATGTTGTAGACTGTAAAAATCAAATTGCATTTTAAGAGGGTGTTAGCCTCTGACAAAATGGCGACGTGTAAAACTCCTCACAAATAAATTTGTGATCCCCTGTTTTGCTAGGGCACCAATCCCCTCGCAAATTTCGTATTTGTGAGAGGTTTTTGTCATTTGTGAGAGGTTTAACCCCGGACAAATAACGTTTTTTCTTGTAGTGTCTTATCTCTTCTTTCTGCTTCATATCTTATGAGTGTTGCAAGAGATTTTGCTTTTTGTTTATGTAAATCTAAACTTTAGATTATGCAAGATTTGTCGATTTTGGTTACAGATTTTAGGGTTTATTACTGTCAGAAATAAGAACAGTCAGAAACTCTGCAATTTCATTTTTATTGATCCTCTTACTATCTGCAGGTGCAAGGAAAGGGCTGATTCGAAGACCGTTGCTTTGGCGCAAGGAAATGGCTGATGTCTAAAGACGCGTGAAGGTACAATATTTAACCATCTCTTGAAATAAAGATCAAATTGTTGTTTTTGGTTTTTTTCCTTTCATTTTCTTCTTCATCTATAAAAGATTGTGGATAGAGTTTTGGATCTACAACCAATAACATATTAAGGTATCTTATCTTCAAACTCTGGTGATTTACGGTGTATATGTTTTATTTTTTGTAGGCTCAGATCAAGGTAAGTAGTATTTTTTCATCATAGATTGGTTGAATTGCTTTCTGTTGCGTTATGTTTGAAGTTATTATAACCCTTCATTCTACATATATATGAGACTAATGTATTACTATTGGTTATTATCTACATGATTTCATTTATTTCAAGTTATTTCTCACACCAAAATTGTCCTCAAGAAATAATGGTAACAAACTTAACCGAGTATCATAGGCATGTCTCCTTTAACAATATGTACACAAGCTGGTACATATCCATCTCTCATTGTCTTTTGTTGATGAAAGTATATGTATATGCTATCCAATTTTTTTTCATTCTATTTAAGTTGGAATATTCTATCCAATTTTGTTAATGATCATCCTATTTAGTTATGAATATTGTAACTAAATAACATTTAATACTTAGCATACTTAAAGCTTAATTATTAATGGTAGTTAGTGTTTCTATGTATTTGTATTATGTTTTTATTTCACCATACTTGAGTTTAGATTGAACAACTAACTATCAGTCACCTTTTAAAATGAACACTAAAATGTTTTTATTTTCATTTTGAAAACAAAAGCGTGTGTATAACATCATTATCCGTGTGAACATACAGGTAACATATCAGTACCGTGCGAATACACAAACGCACAGGTAACACACTAGTATCATTGTCAATGCACGAATAACACATCAGTAATGTGCAAACGCACGGGTAACACACAATACCGTATGAACACACGAATAACCATACAAGAATTCGTGCGAACCCACGTATTATTACATGTTTTGTACCATTAAAGAAAATATAAATAATGTATGAAACCAAAAACGAGAAAAATGAGTCGTTTTTAAATTTTTATTTTTCTATTATTTTTATTTTAAAATTATTTTTCATTTAAAATACAATATTTTAAAGACAATATATGAAAAATTAAAATATATATTTTTGATGTAAAATAATTTTGATTAAAGAGTTTTGTTTTTTATAAAAAATTAGGTATTTTTTTAAAAAATAATAAATTATTTTGGTAAAAAATAATAAATTATTTTGGCAAAAAATAATTTTGTTTTTATTTATTTATCTTTTTGTTACATTTTGAAAACAAAAGCGTGTGTCGCTTGGATAACACACCAGTACCGTGTAAATACACGGATAATCAATATTGAAAAATATATGTTATTTTTATCTATTTTGCATAATTATTTTTTTTCTAAAATTATTGTTTAAAATTTTTTCTTAACAATGATTGATTTAATTAACTTATATATTTATCTTTGACTATTTTTTTTCTTCTTATTTTACAATTAAATTAAAAAAAATTAATTTTAAATATTAAAATTAAATTGGTGACATATGCATGATCCACACCAGAACTCGTGCGGACACATGGATTTTCCAATAGTTTATAATAAATTGAATATAAAGAACTAAGTTAACAAAATTTAAATTAAAAATCAATTTAAATAATTTAACTAATTATTTTAAAAATATTATTTATAATAATTTTTTTTAAAGAATAAATAAAATATGAAATAAATTACCTAAATAATTTTATTTTTTGAAAAAAAAAAAAAACGTATTTTTTTTATTATAAAAAAATATTTTTTCTCAAAATAAAAAATATCTTTCAAGAATTAAAAAATCTAAACAAATTTCCGGACATAAAAAAACTTTTTTTTTATGAAAACAAAATTCTAAGTAAAAATATAAAAATATAATTTTTTTCTAACAAAAAAATCTAAAAGAGTTCAAATGATATTTATTTTCTTTTAAAAAAATTAATTCCATTAAATATAATAAAATGCATAATTCATTAACCATCAACTAATTACTACTTAACTATGATAGAATAGATAAAGGGAGATAAAGTGTGTTTGAATAATGAAATTCTGGTATAATAGATCTCAGATGTTTTATGACATATCGAGATATCTGATCTTAATAACACACAAGTAAGGTATAAAAACATGTAAGAAATAGTACTGAAAAGTAAACAACACAATAAAATTGTTAACTCAGTTCGGAGCAACTCTCCTACTCTGAGACATATCAAGTCAGGGACAAATCCACTATAATAGTATCAATTCATAGACCCTACAACAAACATACTGGTTTACGATCTACTCACTTAATCACTACATGTGCTATACTTTTATGTAAGACTCACCTAGATATGAGACCCTCCTCAATCCCTCATCAATCACAGACAGTGATTGGATCAAAACTGGAAGATACACTTCTATGACGGCAAAACTAGAAGACACACTTCCATGACAATACCTAGCCAAGACTCTTGACTAAGAAACCAACTTGGAGTTGTTTAAAAGTTTCCTCCAAGAACAATACTCACTCTTGCTTCACATCTTCAAGAATAATAATAATAGAGACTTACAATTCTATAACACAGTCCTACTCTCATATCAGCATGATATTCGAGAGGCTCACAAATAACCAACTCTCATATAGAGTGGCACACAGAGTCAGTCCTAGTGATTACATCTTTCTTATTCTTGGTTGGTACCTTTTCCTAGGTTACAATGCTTCTATTTATAACCTATCTCTCAACTGGATTTGAGCTTCAAATCACAACATATTAGTTGTTACAAAACTGCAGAAGATTCTGCAACAAAACAAGTCTTCAATCAAATCTTTCCTAAAAAGTCTCCTTATTTAGAAAGTTAATATTCTTCAATATTCTTCTTGATTCTTCCAGACCTTTAAATCAGTGCCACATATGACAACATAATATTCCCAGAATATTTTGCATATGTTAAATCTTGAACTGATCCAACTGTCCAGCCTAGCACGGGCGTGATGTCGAATGACCTGCATAGGACATCTTATATGACATGTTGCTCCAGATGATGAGAACTTCTCATCTCAAAATGTCTCAATACAAATCAGGACATCTTGCTCAACCTGTTCTTCATAGCAAGTAGTCACATCTTTTTTAACATATTGCTGCTGTTGTACCCCAAAATTTGCCCTCCCATTTCTCATTGATTTCTCATCACAAAGCCCTTGAAGCTCAGGATCCAGTTAGAGTTTCATCTGCTCAAGACCTCTCCTTGCACTATGGACTCAAAATTAGGGTTTGTGTTTGCATAAAGATGTTTTGACCCAAAATGCCTAAGATGACTTTCATGCCTCATATTGGACTCCCAAGCTTACCCATATCAAGTTTCAAGCCTTGATTCCAAGTTTTGCCCAGTCAATTGGACAGTTGACCTAGAAATCAACTGTATTGGGGAAAAAGTCAACTGTGGCCAATTGACAGTCAAACCTCATGAAATTTGACCCACATCAACATTATGAACTCATATGAACCATTTGATCAAGTTTGGATCACAATTCCACAAGAAAATTGATCAGATCACCAAAAGGGCAAAATGGTCATTTTTAGGGTTTTGACTGTACAAAGGCAATTTTTGACTATTTGACCTAGCCAATGGCAAACCAAGCTCACACATGGACTCAAGGACCCTATGGAATTATCTTGACATGATCAACAAACTCAAAAGATCCCAAGTACACAAGATTGACAGTTGGATTTCCCAGTCAATTGATCAGTTTTGACTGTATACTGAAAAGTCAAACTTTGACTTTTTGGTCAAAATCAAGAGTCAAGATTCATTTTTCATCAAAACATGCCAAATCATGAAACTTGTTCACCAAGAAATCACAAAGTGCAAATTAGGGTTAGGAATTTGAATTTTTCATAACTTAGAATTTTTCTAAGTTATAAAAAACCCTAATTTTTCCCAACTTTTCCCCACTTTTTCACCAAGATCCATTTGGATTCAAACAAAAGTCAAAACATGAAAGTTGTAGCTTGTTGCATAATCTACAACTTTGATTCACAAAGTTTTCTCATTTGAAGCTTGTATCTCAAGTTACAATTTTTTGAATAAGGGCACTAAACCATTTTTAACTTAGTGAAATTTTAACCTATTTTGACAAGGTTTTCTACCCCACTTCAAGGCCATTTTCCATACACTTCCACTTGGAATTTCAATTTTCATTTCAAAGATGGATTGTAGTACATATTCCAAGCTTTCCAAAATGTCCAAGAACTTCTCAAACAACCTCATGGTTAGAGAGAATCGAATTTCACAATATAGCAAAAAACCACTTTGTTCATGACCAAGTTCCATGTCCATAACTTTGCAATTTGAACTCAGCATGCTTTAGGTTAGATTACAGGTCCTTAAACCAAGTTGCACTAAATAATTTAATGCATATTCATTGTGTTAAGGTGTTGTTCTATGAGTTTGAACATTGTATAAAGGTTTAATCCCAAACTAGATAAAGCAAATTAGCCATTTTGGTAAAAGGTAGCTTTATGTCAATTTGGAAATCCAACAAGTACATTGCAAATCTGAATGGCACAAGATTATGAACATAACACACTGATCAAGGAGGGATTATGCAGCACATTAGGGGCCCTCTACATGCCTAGAAACTCAAGTTGCATTTTGTTGCTTAAGTGTGAAGAAAAGTTCCATAACTCACAACAACTCTCATCTCAACATTAGAACACAAGAACAAACTTATCAAACACACTCAAGACAACATAACCAAGCTAATACACGACCCTTGCACCTCTAAAACACCCTCCATCTCAGAATCATCCTCAAACTGCAAAAACAGAGTTGCCTCTGCAGTTTGAGTGCCAACTCCCATTTCTCTCGAGCATTCTTGCCAAAGCCTGTTCCTCTACCTTCCTTACAACCTATGCAAACTATCCAGAAGCTAAGACACAACCTGTAACACCTCTAAGCCACTTCACCATTTTTGTTTTTCTG